ACTTGTAACAAAATTACAGTTATAAGTTACTTTTATGGTAACTATACTTGTAACTGCGTTATTTTTTTTTTGGCAACGGTAACGCAGTAACATTTTTTTGATAACGATAACAAATTTTATATTTCCTTGGCATGTTGTTGGACACGGTTCGATTGTCACGAGCCTTGAGACTAGAAAATTCCTATAGGCATCTATCCACTGTGATTAATGGTCGTCAATTTTAAAAAAGTAAAGGAAAAGTAACGAAAAGTTACTTTTTAAGCAACGGTAACTGTAACGAATTTCTTTCGATAAGTAGTAAACGGTAACTTGTTACTTTTAAAAAGTAACTTTTCATTCCCCCTTATATAATATATATTTGTAATATTATTGCAGTCAAAGAATGGGAAATCGGGATGTGTGGAGATTACAATTAATAAAGTACAGCGATTATTTAAGAAAGGTAATTCACATACAACTGTTTATTGAGACATGTAGAATACATCTGGTCATACACAAAAATCTTTGACACTTTAAATCAAGCTCCTAGCCCGAAAAAAGGAACCATGTTATAACATTCGTCTTTAAATTCATTTAATCATTATGTTTAACTACGTTTTACACTAAAATTAGAGGCAACTTGGAGAAATAAAAATTACAGAAATTAAAAAGCGAACGATTGCTAGAGATGAATAATTGTTACATAGAATCTGATAAAAAACGCAAAATACAATTAGTGATGATATAAATTTAGCAAAATTTGGTAAAAAGTTTACATATCTGTTTACAGCCGCGGAGCTGACATGTAGCGCAAAAAAAGTAATAACATATATATATATATATATACATACATATATATATGTATGTATGTATATATATCATATATCTTTTTTCTTTCCTTTTTGGGGATTTGGAGGCGATGTTTTCCTTATTGAATCTTTCGTTTATTATCATACGATTTCCTTCTTTCTCGTTAATTAGTGCTAAATAACATCACGTCACAAAAATGCATATTCGTAGGAATATAATATATAATATATTTATATATATAATTAAAAAAACACGTGGTTCTTGGGCCACTTTGAACTAACGTTCGCAACATTTTCGGCCCATGGATCACACAATATCCGCCTGACACGTGAGAGGTGGCTAATCACGATATAAACCCCGAATGATGTGAACGATTTTCTCAAAATAAGGACATGATGTGCTGCGAATATTCTCATCATTATTTAATCGGGGCATTGGCCGGGCAAAAAAAAAGAAAAGCGCGCACGCGCGCGGCTACGGCATCGCCAGCCACAGTGTGTGTGTATGTGGTGCATTATCCTAAAATGCAACCGATAACCACCCCAGGCACCCCAGCTGCCACACCGATTATCAGAGTATAAAAGAGGAAGAGGGAAATTAGGGAGAGAGACAAAGTGGGGAAACGAGTATCCGGATGGGAAGAGGGAGGGGGGGGGGTAGTAGAAAGGTGGGAATACAAATGGGGAAAGAAATACGATAGTGATACTTTTGGGGCGCCTTTTTAACCGGGGCGGAGCCGGTGGTATTATCGATAAACGCTAGTACCTAGATCAGTCTAAGAATCTCGTCACCGTGAACTGTCTCCGCTTTAGCCAAGTTATGCTTCCTTGCCCCCGCAAGCCGAACTCTCTCTTTAATCGTATCTCTGCATTCTATGCATGTGTGTGTGTGTATACATGTGTAATATATATAACATATTCTCTTGCTTTTTTTTCATTATCTTTTTTTTTTTTACCTTTATTCCTTTATCATGCTCATATTATTTTCTTTTATTAATTACATTTTTTGCACGGAAAAAACCAGAATTTCTTCTTTTATATTGGAATATTATCATGTGTCACAAAAACCCACTCAATTATGATTAGCAATATCATCCTTATCATATTGTTAATATTAATAATATTATATCCTCGATATTATGCTTTTATAAATAGGATGTGTAGGTAAGAGTAGGTAGATAGATATAAAATATGGTAGGCGAATAATCAGGGATAGTGGAAAAGGGAGAAGGGAACATGAAAGGAATAAAAAAATAGATAGATAGCAAACGTAAATCGCGATTTCGCAATTCGCTTGAATTTTCCTTTCCTTTTCTTGGTTTTTCTTTTTCAGAAACAATGATCGCAATTACTGGGGACAAGACATGTGTACGAGAAAGGGGAATTTTTCTTTCGTCTAATCGCGTGTTATTACTAGATGTAGTTAATTAATTCATCGTTATCAGTAAAACAGTATCGATGACGAAGAAGAATTAGACTTAAGTAAAACATGAATAAAAATTAACAAAATGCTCGTTAAACACGAGATCGGGCGAATTATCTATCGTTATTCAAACATTTCGTCCATTGGTGCGTCTATCGTTTCGCATTTTTCACATTGTGTATTTTTGTGTGTGTGAGTGAGTGAGTGTGTGTGCATGTGTGGGAAAGAAGGGAGTGCAATGTGAATCTGTAAAATTATATACGGTAATGTCATATTATGATAGGATGTATATGCGATCTTTTGTATCTCTGGTTGGTCGATCTATGGCATACTCGTTCGGTGTTAAACACTCGATATCTTATTACATATATCATCCGTCAATTATTGTACCAAATCCAATCCAAGAGGCTAACATATATGTATAACCATTATTATATGTGTCAAGTGTCATACATATCCATGTGCATGCGAGCGTACGTATGTGTGCATGTGTATGTATATGCGCGTGTTATGTATGTAATGTAACAATAAGAATGAGTGAATGTGTGTGTGTGTGTGTGTGTGTGTGTGTGTGTGCGCGCGTATGCATAGGTATATGAATGGGTAATGTGTATATGTGTGTATGTGTATGTATGTGTAGTTATGTCGTCTCATTTGGTATGTTATAACAAACAGAAGTCTGATATGCTATTCCGTTATTACAATATCCGTTTTCTCTTTTTTTTTATTTTTATACCATATTTGTCTTCATATTCCGGGGGTGCGTGTAAAATACAAATGATTTGCATATGTTTTCCTTTTTTTCTCCCCTTTTTCAAATAATCATCCAGAACAGGGGGTGTCTGGGCTCCAGGGACAGGGACCAACTACAGCCCGCACTTACAACTCTTACTAATTAACTAACAGACTAACAATAACAACAAGTCAACACTCAAAATGTGTGCTGTATGTGTTTCATGCATTTGTAAACATTACATTTTACATTCTACTTCAATCTGTGACTATCATTATCAAATTCGTAGTCAGTCATCTTTAAAAACTTCTCTTCCTTTCTTTTCTTTTGTAAATGAGTACAAGAAACAAATTTACTTTTTACATAAAATTTAGAAGAAACAATACACTTTTATTTCCCTTTCAAAGGGAATAGATTCACTTTAGACATTTGTTTTCAACGATCGATTTTTTAAATATAAAAAAAGAAACACATTAACAAATAAATATATTATAATTTAGATCCGAGTTTGCCTTGCTACTTGGATACTGTCATTGAAAAATTTACTGTACAAGTGGGTTTTCTCTCGATTGTGAGCAATACTCTTTTTTTCCATTTTCCTTTTTCTTATCCAATAGAACCCTGGCATGACTATAACCAAAACCTAATTTAGGAGACATTCGCAGAACCGTTGCAACTCGTTTCATACTCTCTACTTTCACAAATCTTTACCTGTGTGACTCTTAATAATAATAGTTTCACTGTACACATTTATAGACCAACAATAGAAGGTCTTGTGGCACGCTTGGCGCGTTCCACGCACAAATACACACACACAGACACATTCTGTGTAAAAACAACTTTTCACTCATTCTCTCACTTACTCACTGACTCACTCAGTCACTGACTCACTCAGTCACTCACTCACTCACTCACTCACTCACTCACTCACTCACTCACTCACTCACTCACTCACTC